ATCGCTTTATACGCCATTAAACATGTAATTATGATCCTAGTTTTGAAGAAATATCAATATATATATTTATATACCGCTTTATACGCCTATAAAGCTAATATATATATATATATATATATACATTATTCATGTATGAATCAATATATACATTTATATCCCATCGAATTTATATAATTCCCATCGAAACTAAGACAGCTATAGTATATATATAATCATGTATAAATCTAAGACAGCTAGTATATATATATATATATATATATATATATATATAATCATATATAAATCAATATATACATTTATATATACAATTCCCAAACAAACTAAGGCAGTTAGGCCATATATAGTGATGTATAAATCAATATATAAATGTATATATTCATTTATATACCGAATGTAGTGTATAATTCAATATATAAATGTATTTATCTATTTTACATCAGGATCGAAGCCATATATAATCACTGTATGACATATATATCAATATTATTTATATTATGATATAGGTCCCTCGAACCAACTAAGAGCTGGATGGGTCCCACTTCAATCGATGGATGTATGCAGGATGCCTCAAGTTTACGGTGGAAACATTATGGAAGGCATGGTGTGTGCTGGTGAGTTAGACGAAGGAGTAGACGCTTGTGATGGGGATTCTGGAGGACCTTTAGCGTGCTTACATGAAGGTAAGTAAAACACGATATTGGAAAAATATAAATTTAACAGCAAAGTTAATTATTATTATTGCTTCAGGGGCTTTCACTTTGTACGGGATAACATCATGGGGTCAACATTGTGGCCACGCCAATAAACCAGGTGTATATGTTAAAGTGGCTCATTATCGAGATTGGATAGATCAAAAAATCAAATTATCAATGACTGAGAAATAAAATACCAAAAACTAGTTTATAATATATAGCTTATATTATTTAATATAAAAATTCTTATATAATGTTAGTTGTTATATACACACATGCTCATTTTATAAAAATTCATATTTACACTGTACATTGTAAGTAGTTTTAAGTCAAATTATATAACTAGATAAAATATAAATAAATAATAAAATAACATACATACATAACCCTTAATGGTAATAAATTATTATTTAATAAAGTTGAGGGATATAATGGTCAAGTTATAATAGTCTAAAATTACCTAAGAAAGTTATTTTTGCACAAAAATCCATGAAAAAATTCACTTGATTGTCATAGCACAAGTTGTCAAGCTTTATAAAATACACAAATTTTTCTTTAATAAAAATATTGTTAATATAACAACATATCAAGCCACATTACATTAAATATTAAAACAATATTTAACATTTCTTATGCCATTAAAAGAGATGTCAATGGCGTCATCATGGCCAAAAGTTGGCGCCAAAGGTAAAAGTACAGTTGGGTTTGAAAATTTAAACCTTTTACTATTAAGTCATTAAATATATCAACCAGTTAACTGTGGCGCTCATATCGAACAGTGCATAGTTTTTTGTCGCCATAATCGAGTCATGACGAGTAAATTCGTCAATCACAATTAAGGTAAGATCTTGGATGTATATATCATATAACTTATATTATATATTACATTACATACATAATAAATAAATTCAATTATAACACAAAATGAAATTCAAAATTCTAATTCTTGATGTGGAGCAATATGAGTATTGTAAAATATCATAGGCCTACAAATAGTACTTTATTTATAAAAATTTATCAAAATATACTGTATAGATATATTCCATTCATTTTTACGACATGAAAAAGAATAAAATGGGTTAACTAAATTAAATTTAATTTTTAATTAAAATTAAATTTTAAAATTGAAAAAATGTAGTAATTTTTAATTAATTACTGCAATTGCATGTACTATAAGATTGTTTAAAATATATCAATTAAAAATCGTATTGACTAGTTTGTGATTAAAAAAAATATTATTAATATTTATGAAATAAGCAATTAATGGCTGAATCGCAATTCTAATTAATTAAATGTATTATTTCCTCATTTTCAAAGAAAGTTCATGCAACTTGCCTTAAGGGTCTAGAAGTGGTATTAATTTTATGTGATTTTTAAAAAGACAAACAATATTTTTACAAAATATAATTTAAAATTTTGAAAATAAAAAATTGTCATAAAGTTTTAATTTTAAATTGATGAAATGAGGGGTCTCAAAAAATCGCCACCGGATACTGATATATTCAACTTTTCAAATTGAAAAGAATCCAGAAAGTAATAAAAAACAAAAAAGTTTTTAAAAAACCATTTCTTGATTTATTTACTGTAGAAAATGATGAATTTTTTTATATAAAATGAATAAAATTGTGAAAGAAATAACATTACAGAAATATGACGCGAATATAATCAAAATGAAACTGAAAAAAAATAAATATTAAAAAATTGGAAAGTTTTAGAATAAGAAAAGATCACTGAAAAATCAGAATTAATTGCCTTTATGATTGATTATACACTAACACTTTTTCACTAGATTTTATAAAAAGAAAAAGTGATATTATTTTTTAGTGAATAAGTGTTAGTGTATAATCAATCATACATATAATTAATTCTGTTTTTTCAGTAACCTATTCTTGAAACTTTCTAATTTCACTCATTTATTTTTATCAATTTCATTTTGATTATATTATCATATATCTGTACATTATTTTTTCCACAATTTTATTCGTTTTATATAAAAATTCACCATTTTCTACTTTTCTTAAATATATTGTTTGTTTAAATCTTATCAAGATCATGTTTCTTGACAGATGTCCTGAAGATGGAACGTACCTAGTTCCGAAATGTCGACAGTAAATAAAGAAATGGTTTGTTAAAAAACTTTTGTTTTCTATCACTTGTTGAATTCTTTGTTCAAAGCTTAGTTTACAACTTTCTTTATATTCTGGATTTACTTAAATATAGTAAAATGTAATTCACAATAAAGAGGAGTCTATAAAGAAGCTCTGAAATTTTTTTAAGTAAATTCATTCAGTAGAGGTCAAGAAATCGTGGGTATCATATCGAAAAAAATGTGTTAAAAAATTTGTGGAGGAAGAAAACAGAGACAAATTGTCGTGGTCAAATAAATCTCTTAAAATAATTTAAATGTTGGAAAACGCTCTTGTACACATATTCTTGAATATTTTAACTTTGAAAATATCCAGAAATAAAAAACGAAATCGATTTTTACAAAAATTTCAGACCAGAATATCCTCTTAAGGCAGTGGTTCCCAACCTGTGGGGCTGTTTTAAGGCGCAACATTTTTTTATTAGAGCAGGGGGCGCGGTGCAAAAAAGGTTGGAAGCCACTGTCTTAAGGTAAAAGGCCACTTAAAACTACTTATTTTGTACAATCATAGCCTCAAAATACTCCAAAAACATCTTAATATTTGAAAATATTTGTAAAATAATTAGTAACAATATAAATTGCAATTTATAAAGACTTTAATGAGTATACTCGTCATCGTCAATATACAAAATTTTGTCACTTAAAACTACTCATTTTGCACCATCATAGCCTCAAAATACTCCAAACATCTTAATATTTAAGAATATATTTTGTTATTCTCAAAAATTGCAATTTATATAGTCAATGGTCACTGATTTAAAAGCACGACGAGTATACTCGTCATCGTCGATATACACAATTTTGCCACTTGAAATTACTCATTTTGTACCATTGTAGCCTCAAAATACTCCAAAAACATCTTAATATTTAAAAATATTTTGTTTGTGTCAAAAATTGCAATTTATATAGTCAATGATTAATGCTTTAAACGCACGACGAGTATACTCGTCATCGACAATATACAAAATTTTGCCACTTGAAACTACTCATTTTGTACCACCATAGCCTCAAAATACTCCAAAAACATCTTAATATTTGAAAATATTTGTTATTCTCATAAATTGCAATTTATATAGTCAATGGTTAATGCTTTAAACGCACGACGGGTATACCCGTCATCGTCAATATACAAAATTTTGGCACTTGAAACTACTCATTTTGTACCACCATAGCCTCAAAATACTCCAAAAACATCTTAATATTTGAAAATATTTTGTTTTTCTCCAAAATTGCAATTTATATAATCAATGGCCACAGATTTAAAAGCACGACGAGTATACTCGTCATCGTTCATAAACAAAATTTTGCCACTTAAAAGTACTCATTTTGTTTCATCATAGCTTCAAAATACTCTAAACATGTTAATATCTGAAAATATTTTGTTTTTCTCAAAAATTGAAATTTTTATAGTCAATGGTTTATGACGAGTATATTCGTCATCGTCAATATACAAAATATTGCTACTTAAAACTACTCATTTTGTGCCATTGTAGCCTCAAAATACTCCAAAAACACCTTAATATTTGAAAATATTTTGTGTCTCAAAAATTGCAATTTATATAATCAATGGTTAATGACGAGTATATTCGTCATCGTCAATATACGAAATTTTGTCACTTAAAACTGATCATTTTGTACCATCATAACCTCAAAATACTCCAAAAACATCTTAAAATTGGAAAATATTTTGTTTGTCTCAAAAATTGCAATTTATATAGTCAATGATCATTGCTTTGAACGCACGACGAGTATACACGTCATCGCCAATATACAAAATTCTGCCACATGGCGAGTATACTCATAAATCACAGTTAACTGGTTAATTTACGCATAGCCATATTATCAAATAAATTAGAACATAGTAAAAATTTTGGACAAATAAAATGATAATAGTCCCTAACGTCAGGAAAAAAATTAGTATGTACAAATTCATCATAAAAGTCATTTTAAATAATAACACCGAACCTTCACAACCTTTTACTAAAACAATATCGTCAATTAAAAATTAATAATGCGTATTAAACATTACTATTATCAATACGCATCGTCACTAATTCCATGAGCGCCTCAAAACTGCATCAACATAAAATTTAACCCTTTCCACTCGGGGTGAGTTAAATTTTATAAAATCATATAAATTATTATTATTAAAATATCTATTATTAAAATCTCTGTTGGAAATTATTCTGTTGCTGCTGCTGCTGCTGACTGTTATTAAACATCATAGCGGCCTGCTGCTGTTGTTGTTGCTGCTGCTGTTGCTGTTGTTGCTGCTGCTGCTGTTGTTGCTGACTGTGATGGAAATCTTGCTGCTGTTGCTGGGTCATCTGATTTCCGTTATTAGGATGACCGCTGGGACCAGCCAGACGAACCCTTTTTGCATTTTGACCATGATCGTGGTTGCCTGATTGCTGTTGAGCTTGCTGCTGAGCCTTAGGGATAATAAATAATATATTATTTATTATATTATATTGTATATTGCATTATTTATTATATGATATATATATATATATATATATATATATATACATATAAATAATATAATAAATAAGATAAGTAAGGCATTAGTCAAATATTGGAATTATTATTATAAATATGCTGAATTTACAAATATGTAAATGGTATATAAGTTTTGTAAAGTACAGTGGTGCCCCGACTTACGAGTGTTTTGAGGTACGAGCCGCCAAAGGTAAATTAGATGAAAATATAAATTAGTAATGTTTTAATGAAAAAATTATTTGTTTAAGTATATAACATATAGCATGTGTAATTTTATTGTTAAGGGTTTTCATAATCATATTTGTATTATCTTATATATAAAAGTCTTCTGTACGAGTGTATGGTTTAATGCTTCTTCTAAACAATTATTCACATTTTGATAAATCTTTCTAAAGTTTGTAAAGGGAAATTTTTGAGAATGTATGTGATTATAAAAATATAGTAATATTGTGGAAATAAATGGAAAAAAATGCAAAAAACGACATGTTATTGTTTGATATTGTAAATATTTAAGACATTGTTTGGCATTGAAAACGAATGAAAACTGTCATCTGCCAAAAATTTCAATTTACTTATGAGCCTGGACAATATTAGAATATGTATTATAATAAATTCATGATTATGAATAAGAAACATGAAATGTCTACCAGAAATTAAAATACTGTAAGATAGGTACAGTATATGTATGGCAGATTGAATGATACACATATAAACGGGATTTGAGATATATATATATATATATATATATATATATATATATGTATAATTCTTTGCATCTTTTACTAATCTTTGCACAATATTTTTAAAATATGTTAAAAATTTCACTTTACAATAAATGGGAAAGTAAAGATGAATACATACAATTCGGCTCTTACGATATCAATTAGGAGAAGTTTACTATGTAATTGTTTCATAATGAAAGGCTAGAATTTTTCTGCTCTTTTATGATTTGCTCAATAGAATAAATCGCATAAAATGCGCAAAATAAATAAGTAAAATGCTTCAAAAGCCAAATATTAATTAATGATGATAATTTTAATAATAAACTGTCAAAACAGCTAAAAATGACATGTGGGCACTGAGGACCTCAGAATCGGTCCTAGTAATAATGTATTTTAAATTATTACTAAGAAAAATGTAATTTAGATATTAAAAATATCTAAGAACCAGTTAGAATATGATATAAGATTATACAAATTTTAGGCAACATTATTAGAGCAATTAATTTGGAAATCTGCACAGTTATTAAATAAAAAAAAATATTGGTAAAAATTTTTATATCATGGGTAATTTATTACAGAAGAGCGAAGCTAAGTGTGAGAGTTATCATTTATGGTTCCATAAATTAAAATAGAGATAAAAAAAATTGTTGGATGTAAAGAAATGTTTACTATAAGATTTTTTAAGCTAATTTTCGAAAAATTGAAAATAGTAGTCCGAAACTATAAATGTGAGATTCTATTTTACCACTTTGGTATTTTGCATTCAAAAATTTTCCCATTTATAACCTTTATATAGTAAGTATACGTATTGTACGTATAAGTATTGTAAACAATAAGCATACTTATTGTTTACATCATTTTCAGATATTTGTAATTTTATCAAGTAATTGCAAAAACTCAGTTTATACCTTTATTTTTTAAAAGCCTAGGACAAAAGAATGAAATCAGGGAGGAATATTGCATTTAGGAAAACCCGGGATGCAAGGTGAGAATCCGGGACTGTCACCTTAATTATTTAAACAGTTAACTATAGCGCGGAAACAAAAGATAAATTTATTTTACAAAATTAAAAATTTATTTTTTTGGTAAACATAAGAATGTATGTAATATACACATGAAATAAACGAAAACCTAAATAAATTCAATGAAATATTATACATATAAAGGTAAAAAATCAAATTCTTCCTGTGAAATGATACGAGCATCAAAATATTATATAAGCCTAGAAAAAGTAGCTTAATTGGAAAATTAGTGCTCCTGGTATACGGACTGTATAGATAAATTTTTACTCTTGAATTCACTCTTAAATTGAATGTATTTTTAGATCATGAATTAGAATGAAGTGTATTAAATTTATTAAATTAATACTAATAAATGTTCAATAAGTTTGTTAGTAATACAATTAGTTAGTCAATTGAAAATCTCATTGAATAGTTTTTTGTAAAAGCAAAAATAAACAGTAAAAAATCTTACTTAACTAGCTGAGTATATAAGTAGAAAGTATATTATTTCATTGAATATACTCGCAAGTATACAAAATTCTGCCACTTTTCTTTGACAAGTATACTCCTCAATCAGAGTTAACTGGTTAATGGGCTACCAAATAATATGCAATATTATGGAAAAATATATGTATATAAATAAATATGTAATTATACATTTTTTTATGCCTATTTGTTTTTTTCCATGGTACTCAAAAATGTTATTTCAGAAACAGCTGCAAGCCCCCCTCTTGCAGCAAATTGTAAATCACTGATTTAAGTACTTGATTTTATTTATATTAATTAATAAAGTTAAAATAAAATAGAAGAAGTTAAAATAAAATATTAAATATTACTAAGTAGGGAAAAGCATGAATTGTCAGAATCAGGAAAAAAATTGTGTGTTGTTAAAATAAAAGATTCATAAAAAACAATTATTTAATATTGTGGTATAAAAATACTACATAACTGTGTACATGTATATATTGAAATAACAATGTTATTTATTGAAACACAGTTCTACATAATAGCTATTAAACTTTAAAAAAAAAATCCATCATATATATTAAAATATTATTTCAAGAACATCGCAATATTTCAGTTATTTAAAATCCTGAATCAACCATGATTTTTTATACTAAATGTATCACATAAAATATACAAATTGACTCACATTTTGTTGCTGCTGCTGCTGTTGATTCTGCCTGGCCTTGCTATCAGCTTTTTCATCCTGATCATCATCGGTTAAAAACTCTCTTTTCGGGTACGGAATTGGACAACCGGCAAAGACATCCGGAGTATGCATAGGCTCTTCAGAAAAATAGGGATCATGCATTGCTTGTTCAGATGTTATCCGTTTGTTCGGGTCCATTAATAGTAATCTTTGGAGAAGGTGGAAGGCTTTGCTGTCTGGTTTGATTTTGTGACGTTCCATGTATTTGACCAAGGAACAGTTTTGGTAACTAAAAAAAATGAAACATAATTATGATTTCACTTCTATTTATATATATATATATATATATATATATATATATATATTATACATATATATAAAATTCTTCTGTAATGGGGTATGAAAGGTTAATCCTTCAAACGATTATTCAGATTTTCATAAATCTTTCTGAAGTTTGTTAAGGAGATTTTTTAGGATTTTTTGAATTATAAAAATATAGTTAGATAGTAAAAATAAATGAAAAAAATTACAAAAAATCGGTTTTTGGCATTAAAAACAAATGAAGACTGTCATTTGCCAAACATTTCCATTCACTTATAGACTAAGACAATATTAAAATGTAATATATTCATGATTATAAATAGGGAAAATGTAATGTATTGCCAAAAAGCAGCTGAGATGTGCCAAAAATTAAAATAATATAAGATGCATTATATATTTGATAAATAAACAGTCTGCGCATACATCTGATGAATGTGGACTGTAAGTGATTGCGCTCTAACATATTCAATTTGACAGATTATTATATTTTAACTAATGCAGTCTTGTTTTGCCTTACTTTACTAAATCACAATACAAAAAAAATATAATTATTTAGGAAATTATTTAGAAGTTTCATGGAGCATTTTGGGTCTGAATTTTTTTACTGTCTCTTGCATATGAAATGTGTGAGCTATCACCCAAATTAAAGGAGCACACAATGTTTTTTTCATTTAAATTAAATTAAAATTAATCGTTTTCCATCTAGAGTTAACTTGGTTCAAGAGATTCCAAAATATCACGCAAATGAGTAATGATGTTATGATATTCAAATTATTATTAAAAAAATGTAATTTAGTTTAATATTTTGTAATGTAAGTTAATATTTTATTGAAACAATTATTTTGAGTAAAAAAATTAAAGGTGATATTGTCCCTTTACTGCGAATACTATATATGAATTTTTTCTGAATTCGTTATACTGTTTAAAAGACTGCAATTTCCAATACGTATATCTTATGCTATAAATCACAGAGGCAGACGATGAATTTTTGTGTGATCAATTTGGAAAATCAATGTTTTAGTTGTGAATAAACAAAAAATCATTCACATCTACAGGTATAACTAAAATCATTGTATAACCCTTGGCATTAAAATAAATTGAGCTATTGGAAATAAATTTGTTCTATGAATTGCAGTGTATAATTTTTAATATACAATTTTACTGAACATATTTTAAAATTTGTTAAAAGGATAATTAAAGTGTTAACTGTGGGAATTGAGAATCGTCATTTTATTTGAAGCAGTTCCACATTTAACATCACTCATATATTTGTGTAAATAATAATTCGAAAAACAATAATTAATATTTTTAACTGAACAGTAAATATTATTATAGGATATTGAAAAAATGTAGATGAGAGTACAGGACGTCTGTCGGATTATCTAGTATAAATAAATATACATATTAATATTTATTATATTTAGGATTAAAATCTTACTTTGATCTTTTAAAATCTTTCGACAATGTAGAATGCTCAGGCATTTTTCTAATATCCTCCCAATCTTTATCCAAAGGAAAACCCATTACATTAAAAATCCTATCCAATTGGTCATGATGATACGGATTACTTGTTTTTATATCTTCTTGCCGACAGTGGAAAATTGGCTCACTTGTTAATAACTCTGCAAATATGCAACCAATGGCCCAAATATCTAAATAAAATTACCATATTATCATTAATAAAATAATACAATTTTATAGGCTATTGCAATAAGATTCAAATAAAGCTCATATTTAATATAGGAAATATACAGAAATCACTCCAGTGACTTATTTTTTAATTAAAGTTAAAGCAGGTCCATAGGCCAACATAGAATAAATACAATAACAGTAAATATCATCAGTTTATTATTACCTATAGCTTTTGTATAATGCCTTGCACCAAGAAGTAATTCTGGGGCTCGATACCAAAAAGTCACCACAACCGGGTCCAAATCTGCAAGAGGCTTCAACGGTGCATTGAATAATCTAGCAAAACCCATATCAGCAATTTTAACTCTGCCTCTTTCAATGCCTTCGCCCATAACTAGAATATTTGCTGGTTTCTACCAAAAATAAACGAATTATTTATAATAAATAAAAAGATAGCAGTATAATCATAAATATTTACCAGATCTCTATGTAAAACCCAATTGGAATGTAGATAATGTATTCCATCTAAAATTTGATACAGAAGACTTTTAACCATTCCTTTTGGAACCATCACAGGTTTTTTGTTAGCCTTGGCAGCACGATGAAATTTAATAATATGCCACAGATCATGCTCAGCATAATCGAATAATAACCAAACTTTCCGGTCCGTGTGTGATAAAAATACTCGAATGAGGTTGATGACATTTGAGTGCTTCAACTCTCGCAGCAACTGTAATAAGAAAAGCAACCTTAGTGAAGATTGTTTGGGCTGAATTAAATGTATACAGTAGAAATTCCTTATTACTGAAATGTAATGATAAAAATTATGTGAGTTTGTCAACATAACTAAAGAGCAGCATTACAAATAAGTGGAATATGCTCCAGTCGTTTACAGTTGTGTAATTAAGTAGTAATAAGTTCTTATTACTATTATATTGGTTAAAAGACTCACTGCGATTTCTCGACATGCCGACATGGACAGTCCAGTGCCTTCAATTTGTTTTAGGGCATAATCCCTAGTATCAGACCCATCTTTCCTATGGGCCTTGTATACATGGCCATAAGTGCCCCTACCCACTTTACAGCCTTCATAATCAAACAAATCCTCGACCTTAGTTCGCTCAGCTTGTGTTTTCATTTTAAAATCATGATCCATCATGGTAATATTCATTTTCAGGCCAGATAAGAACAATCTTGCAAGGGATTCAGGTGACTTTCATGGTAGATTATTTTGTTGTTTTTAGTTTACTTCGCGTGGAAGTAAAGCGCATTTTGATTTATTCGAATTCCATTGCTAAGATTTTCTAAAATTTACCTATTATTTTACTGTTATCACTTTGATATCATGCAAATAATGCAATTTTCGCCACATAAAACTTCACTCTGCGAATGTTCGCCATAACTAAAAGTTTAATGTTATGGTGTGAAGTCAGACACAAGATAAGTCAAACTTTATTAGGCGGGATTTTCAAAACGAATTTCAAAAATATTTTTAGATTTTATTGAATTGTATGTATATTAAAATGTATTTCTTAAGTATTTATTTTTACACTAAACTTGTATAATAAAATCTAGATCCAATAAATTTAAATCTATCTACTCCACATCACCATAAAATAATAAAAGTTAATTATATTAAGAATTTGTCTTTTTTTAGATTTTATTTTCAGATTTGAATCGTTTTCAGAATTTTATATGTATTTATTAATTATTGTATTTTTTCTGTAGTAAATTTATTCTAGTTTCACGCTATCTAACTGAGAAAGAGTGCTTTCATATAAAATTTGTGAGTTATTTGATAAAACCAAAAAAATGTCCCAA